CTCATCCATAAACTAGAACTGAGGATACTTTCTATCTTTAGCTGCCACTCATTAGTACAAGAAAAATAACCATAGATAGAAAAAACACATTGAGATGTAAAACAAAAAAAATGTTGGTATTATTTCCCACACACATCAAAAAAAAAACCCTTTCAAATTTGTGAATATGTATTTTGGCTTATAAAGTATATATTAAGCATATATACATTAATTTTTAAAATTTTATGAATTGTTAAATAAATCATGACTAAACTAATTAAAATGCATTGCAGCTATATTACATTGCACAACTTCCCACAGGCATTTTTCTTCTTTACTTGCTGATCAACAAGACATCTTAAGACATGGATTCCTGATTAATGATCTTGTTAATAAACTAATCTAAATGCATGCTTCTGGGCATCTCTTAAAGAAAATAAGATTTTGAGAAAGCTAGCAGAAGAGAAACACAGTTTTTTAATAATGCATACATTTGTTCACTCCTATCTCCCTGCCTTTTGCTTGCAATGATATGTTTTGATAGCTGTAAATAGCAGGGATTTGTGGATGAAAGACACTGCCTACCTGAAGGTATTTTACCACTCGATTTGACATACCATTAAATCACCCCAATGGCAAAAATCAGTAAAAACTGCTTAACCTTCAGCTGTGAAATGTAATAATTATATAGTGGTTTTACTAGAGATGATAAACATTTTGCAAAATTGTGATTGCTTTAATAATTTTTAGTGATAACACAGCTCCATTGGAACACATATGGTTGATGTTAAAGTAGATGTTGTGAAGAAACATTTGTCAAAGTGTCACATTTGTCAAAGTATACTTGCCTTATGTTGTGAGTGTTACAAAGAGTCAGACAATTTTCATTTTGTGTTTTGTTTCATAATCTTTAGAGTTTTAACTGATTCTTTGCTCCTTGGAACAGACAATGATAGTTTTCATTACATAAAATCTGGGTAAAGAATAAGACATTTTGTTTATATGAGCTCTACGATTATATCAAAACCGTGTTGTTTTCAGAAAATATATAATAATTACATAATGGTGGCCAGTATGGATACTTAAGATCTTGCATTAGGATAGGATTTTCAGGTGTTGTCCAAAAACCAGTTCATCTCATGAACTCATTTTAACATAAAAAGAATTATTTGTTTGCCATAATCAGTGGTTGTGTCCATTGATTTTTTGGTGGGGAATAAAGTTCTAAAAAAGTTAAGCCATTTTTTTTTTCAGAAACAAAATACATGTTAGTGCCAATGCTATGACTAGATCCACCCTCTTTGTACTCATTATGCAATTAATTCTTACTCACTGTATTAGTTAACTAATGCTGTAGAACAAATTACCGCAAAATTAGTGGCTTAAAACAACGCTCACTTTGGTCTCTGTTTTGGTGGGTCAGCATTCCAGATATAGCTTAGCTGAGCCCTTTGACTCAGAATCTCCCACACTTGCAATCAAGGTATCAGCTGAGGCTTCTGTCTCATCTCAAGTCTTGACTGAGGAATAGTCTACTTCTAAATTCATGTAGCTTATGGTCATAAATCAGCTTTTGTGGACTGTGTGACCAAAGGCCTCAGTTTCTTTCTGGCCATTGGGTGGGCACCACTTTCGGTTCTTTGACACATGAACGTCTCCATTCAGCAGCTCAAAATGTGGCACTTTGCTTTGGCAAAGCTGGCATGTAAGATATAAACTTAAGTACTTTAACCTTGCACGTGACATCTTACTACCTTTGTTGTATTCTCTTGGGAAAAGCAAGTTACATATTTTGCCACCACTCAAGGGGAAGGAATAAGCAAGTTCTTGAGTACCAGAAGTTGGAGATAACTGATGATCACATTTAGAACCTGTATAATATTATCTCTTTATTAAAGCTCTGGAAAACGGCACAACTCCCTCACCTAATCTAGAGGCATCATCTTGAATTTTTACTGCCTACATAAATCAACCTTTCAGGAACACAAGGAAAATTAAAAACAAGGCTTCTGATCATTCCCAGTGATATATCCATCCACTGAAATAATATTCTAGACCTTTTCATTATGCCTAATTCAACAACCTTTCCTCCTCCATGAACTTAGGTATCCTCTTCTTTTTAATCAAGTTTTAGCACTCTGCAGTATTTTCACAGAACTGTTTATGGCTATCTCATAGTAAAACAATTACTATGTTGAGTCCTTTCATACAAAGACTTTTAATTTTGTCAGCATTTTACTTACCATGGTTTAATTTTCAATTTATTTGAACATTCTTATTTTTACTAATATTTCTTGTGCTTTAGATTATGATATCTAAAATGATACTATTATATACATTTGCTATAGCGGTCACTATCCATAGGGCTTTCTATAGATAAAGATTCATTGATATTGTTGGCTAAATTGATGAAAAAATAACTCAGAGTACTAAAATTCACTATTGATCTTCTACTCCATCTTCTTCGTTCTTATTCATGTGAAAGACCTTGAAATAAATCTTGCAAACTCAATATGTGAACTTTCTTATTATCACCAATTCTGACTTCTTTCTGTTGCAATAAACTGTATTTCTCACTAGCAAGAATTTTTCTCCTTGTTCCAAATAAAAAGATGTCACTCAGAAGAACTATCCTAAATTTTTGAAGACTTCCATTAAGAAACTATTTTTTTATATATTTAAGTGTTATTTGTGTTGTCATGATTAAATTACTATAAGACAAAACATGTTTTCCTTAAAATAAAATATATTCAGTTACATTTTGCATAAATAAATTTACTATTTGCTAATTCTACATTTATTAGAAAGAAAAAATTTATGCAGAGTGGTTGACATGGAAACAAGAAAAAATAGGAATTTAAACTTAAAGCTTCCCTGGTTACCAGGTTAAAAGATTGTAAGAGTGATGGAAGAAACCAGAATTTATCAGAAAGTAGCACTTTCAATTTCATTGAGTTAGATGCAGTTTAAATATTCAGCAGGCTAAGTAACATCATCCATTCTACACATGGGCAAAAATGATAAAAATATAAAGAATGAAGAAAACTAAACATATTGAAAGGTAAAGAATTTGTTGCTTGGGGCCAGGGATTTAGCTCAGTGGTTGCAGCGCCTGCTGTGCAAGCACAAGGTCCCCAGCTAGATCCCTGGTACCAAATACAAAGGAAAACAAAACAAAAAAACAACAAAGACAAGAATCTGTTTCTCAATGACAATCCCTGGAGATAAATATTTTAAGACTTTCCTTAAATATTGAAATTCTTAATTTGCAGGTTAGAATCCAAAGAGTGACTGGAAGAATTTAGGACAACTTTCTCCAAAAATTTGATATCAATTATTCAGTGTATCTACATAAAATTATTTTATGTCAGCTGAGTTCCTTTAATTTATTAACTTATGATGTGAACTAATGAAACCTTAAAATCATCCCTGGCATATAAACAAAATTGTTAAAACTTTTATATTACATTCTAAAATCCCACCCTACCTTTCCACCTATTCATCAGACAGGTGATACACTCCGATTTAACCAGCATTCAAAGAGGGAAGAATTAAAATATGAATCATGTATATCATAAACCTTGCCTTTAAAATCTTTGTTCAACTTTTTCAGTGCTTTCTGTGGCAACAGAAAATAATAAGCAGTGAAACTAGGACTTTATTTGGGATACTGAGAGCTCAAACAATAGTACCCTAGGACCCAAACAGGAATTCTGACTTGGGCATTGCACATCAGGGGTTCCTGCTTTTTCAAATAACTTCCCTATCATTTGCTAAGTCCTCCTCCCCAGCCTGAGATGAGACGGAGTTGATGCTGATATTTAAGCTACATGATTCAATGCCAGAGCACAAGTATGAGAGCCTCAGTCAATAGTATTTCACCCCTTGAACAGTCTCCCCAACTTGCTAAATCCCCATCCCCACATGTGCAGTTGCCTAGATTCTCTAACAACCTCCAGGTCCAGAACTTGGAAAATGAATCATTTCCTCTGACTTATTTTGTATTTGTGTGTTTGTGTGAGACTGCACAAAATCAGGGTGTCAGAAGTTGCATTAATGCTGATTTTAGGAGAGTTTAATTTATGCTAGACACAAGACAAGTTCATCACCCTAGGCCACAAACTACCCAGTGCATTTTAGGCTTGAATTGTATGAGTAAGCCTAGGAATCCTCCCTTGATGGTCAGTCCATTCTCATCTGTCCATGCTGCAATCACCTTACTACCTTGATCTACATTCTGCAAGGGTGACAGGAATAGCTGGATGAAGACATCACTCTCTGTGCCTCTGCCATTGGGCAGAAGAGAGGTATCACATTCCTGAGGACTCTAGAATGTGTGCTGGACATTCACCTAGTGACAGCTGTGCTATTAAACATGGAAGATTTTAAGGAGATCTCAATGGTGTTCTCTCTTTACCTCCAACTCAAACATCATCTCCTGAGGACTCCATTTTAGGTCAAACCATATGAGCGAGGAATATTTACAAAAATATTACTGCTCATTTTGCTCTGCTCTTAGCCTTCCACCTTTCTTTTCCCCAGAGGGTGGTGTGTATAGAAGACTGAAAAATCTAGAACGCAGTGTTTAAAACCCAAAATATTCCACAAATATATAGGTACAGTATGTGATAGATTTCTTTTTAAATTTGCAACAGCTGAATTTAGCACGGTCCACTAGAATCCCTAACTTGTTTTATGTAGCTAGATATTCTCTTGCATATTATTTTAATTCCCTAGTCATTTCTTTCATTATTTTAAAGTTAGTCAATGACTACCCTAAGGATTACAATTAATATTTGAATTTATAAGAAACTGGTTCCAAATGATGTCTAACTTAATGTTTACTGTAGAAAAAAGTTTGTTCCTATATAGTCACTCCCTCTTCCTTTGTGCTATTGTCTTATAAATTACATCATAAAATTACATCATTATCTATTACCTGCACATAAACAGGTTTAGCAGTGGTCTTTAAAATCGAAAATTGAGAAATAATATTTTATATATTTTTTACTTACCATGTCTCTTTATTTCTCATGTGGCTTCCAATTACTGTTCAATGTCCTTTCATTTGACAATGAATGATTTCCATTAGTGTCTTTTGTATGGCAGTTCTCATGGCAGCAGACTCATTCAGGTTTTGTTTATCTTCAAATGTCTTTTTTATCTTCATTAAGCAATAAGTTTTAGTTTATCAGATGAAACAGACTTGCAACATAGTTTGTATGGATGCAAAATAACCATCTTCAGCAAGTGACAAGAAACTCGGCCAAAAGGGAAGAAACATACACTGAGAAAAAAAAGGGGGAGGTTCTAGAAATTAAAAATCAAAGCATTACAAAGGACTTTATCAAGAAATGCTATCTCCCCCACCCCAGTTGTTGGAGGGCCACAAGAGCATGAAGCACTGTGTTCATGTCAAATGTCAGATCAGAGCATCCTAATGCAACCCCACCCCCCCAAAAAAACAACCCTGCCACTCCAACCATAGAACCCTAAATCTAGAGTTCAAATTCAAAAGAAGAGAAAATGGTAATTGAAGGAGGTGATAAAAGCGGTGATAATACTATGAAGGTGTTGTAATTTCTCTCCTTGGGGGTGGGGGATGGGTGGAGAACGCTCTTTAGGATTTGCAGTTAGAGGCTAACCCTGTGAGGTCCTCTTGAAGTCCATCCCTGGAGTCAACACAGGAAGGTCACACAAACCAGTTCCTGTGCAGAATCCCCATCAGGACCAGTTTCTCCTGGATCTGCAGCGGGTTCGTGGCATCTGGCAGGTCCTGCTTGTTGGCAAAGTCGAGGATAATGGCGTCCCTCACCTCCTGGTCATTGATAATGTGGTGCAGCTCCTGGCGGGCCGCCTCCATGTGGTCTTGGTGGGCGCAGTCCACTAGAAAGATAAGGGTCCAGCAGTAGTAAAGCCTCCAGAGCTGAAGGGGCTAGTCCTGGATGCCTGTTACAGGCCAAAGCTGGTTGAGGAAATGGGCGGGAAACGACCTGTCAATTACAAGATCCCAGGGCAACTCCAGGACCCGTATGTAGCACTTCTCGCGAGCTCCCGTGAAGGAGTGGACAGCATAAAACAGCGGCCCTCGCGGAAAACCACTGTCTGGGTGAGTTCACACCGTAGCTCTTGCTACGTTTTTGAGGCTCCACGAGTACTTTTAGTTTTGCTTTTCACCCTCTTTTTTCTTTGTTTTTGCTCCGCATATCTAGTTTTGCCCCCATACCCTTTCATTCCGCCTTTTTCAAATTAACTCTTTAGCACCGTTTTTGCCTTGTCTCGTCCATTTCTTCGTTCCAGCCAAGAAGAACCTGGAACACTTTTGACTGGCGAGCCAATTTTACAGGAACTTCCCTGTAACACCCCCACATCCCATGTGTTGAACTCTTTGTTAGTCACACTCTCTGTGTGGAAACCCACTGTGGGGATGGTGGTCACTGATGGGCCCAGGTTCACCTTGTACAGGATGGTTGTCTTGCAGGCTGCGTCCAGGCCCAACATGAAGATCCACATGTCCTTGTTACTGAAGAATTTGGATAACACATTCTCTATTGCATCATTTTTTTTTTTTGAGAGATTTGATCTACCTGTGTTGTTCAGATGGGCACCAAACTCTAGGTTCAAGAGATGCTCCTGCCTTACTCTCGTGACTAACTGGAACTATAGACAGGTCACTCGACCTAGATTTTACTTCGTAGCCGGTTAAGAGTGTTTCTGGATATAGTATCTTCAGTGACATTCTTTGTTCTTTTCAGCACTTTGAATAGGTTATCCCATATCCTTCAGATCTCTGTTTTCTCATAAGACATCATAGGTTAATCTTACTAAGGGTAACTTGTTCATAATGCCTTTTCCCTGCTTTCCAAAGTCCTTAACTTTGGCTTTCCTCAATTTGATTATGATGTAACTAAGTGTGGTAATCTTTGAGTTTCTACTAATTGGAGCTTGTTTAGCTTCTTCAATATTTAACTTCACGTCTTTCATAAAATTTGGAAAGTTTTCAACCATTCTATTTTAAATATGTCAGCTTTTTTCTGTGTCTTCTCTTGATGGGATTCCCATTATGAACATGTCAGGACACAGATCTTTGATGTTCTGGTCATGTTTCTTTATTATTAATTTTTTTCTTTCTGCTTCACAGACAGAATCATCTCATTTGACCCATTTTTAAGATCATTGATTCTAATTGTGAGAAATTACAATTTGTAGTGGAAATTCTAATCATATTTTAAATAAGCAAATATTTAAGATAATAATTTCAAATTTAGTTAATAATTAGAGTTAATAACACACTGCCTCCCAAAAGTGCACTAAATCATTGTTTACCAGGCAGACATTACCCACTTTGCTAACTGGGGACTTTGTGAAAGTCTGTCAACAGACAGTGAATTTTTAGTTTCTCTTTCCTTTCAGCTATCCATCTCTGTCTCTGGAACAGTTATGCTCCTTTTCTCCAGTTAGTACTCTATCAGGCTAAAATTATCTCATTGCTCAATTATTATAACTATTACACTAATCAGGAAAAACTATGTTAAAATGGAAGAGAAATCCTTAAATCACAGCTTTCTTTTTCATATTCACAAAGTCTAATTTGACATGTTGCTTTTAAATGCATTGTAGTTAAGTTTTCTGGAACACATTTCCAGGATGAACATGATTTAAAACAATGCAAAGGGGCCAGGGATTTAGCTCAGTGGTTCCGGCACCTGCCTCGAAAGTGCAAGGTCCTGAGTTTGATCCCCAGTACAAAAAAAAAAAAAATGCAAAGATGCCGGAGACACAACAACTTTTAATAATCTCAGCTTGCAGATGGCATATTATACTTCTACTTAAAGTTTTTGAGCAGAGCAAGTCAAATAGCCATAACCTGTCTGCAGGAGAGTAGACTATCAGTATTTATGTATAAACAGTTGTAAGTATACTCTTTGAACATAGTCTTGTGTCCTCACTCTAGCCCAAATAATATTTCTTCTTAATGAATATTTAGACCTTTCTGGTTTATTTATTTATTTATTTAAGTGCCCTACATGTGCTAAAAATGGAGATATACCTTTATGAAACTGACTTGTCCTCCAAACGGCTGAAAGAAAAGGATAGGCCATAGATATTTAATTGGCAATTTTATTACATTATTCTTAGTGCAAGACAGTTCAACTATTTATCTCCAGGAAATATAAAACAATATGATTTAAAAGTATGTATTCTATTCCATATAATTGCATGAAGAATCACAAAGAGAGAGCAAGAGAAAAACAGATAGCAAAAGACAGCAGGAGTGAGAGTAGAGAGTGAGCAAGGAAATGCAAAGGGCCAAAGACAAAAGTAGATCAATACTCTGGCTACCAGTTCTCATTTTAGGGCTATCATTTATGCAACATCTTCTTCAGAGCAGCACTTGACTGAGCAGAACTTCACACCTGCAGCATTAGAAAGGACAATGATTTCCTCCCCTGAAAATATCCTTTCCATGTCACACTTGCTTTTCCCTGTCCTTAGTCAAAATCTTAACCTGGCTGATTAGATAAAAAGTGGCACCAGATGCAGTCAAAAGCAATTGCATGGATTTTTCCCTCTTTTCAGAGATCTAGAAGTAAAATTCATTAATCCTTACTGGCCTCTTGAGTTATCATCACTGAAAATCGTCATGTAAAGTCAAAGCTTGTCTCTAGTGATGTGTCTGTGAGTACATGGAAGAGAAAGGTGTGCTCTATAAAGAACAGAAATAAACAGAGCAGAACCAATTTAGAGGAAATACCATGTGTCACCTGAATGGTAAAGAGGATGAAGATTTTAACTACACTGATGCCTGAGATGTTTCCCATACTTTCCTTTAGCACTGTACAAAGTCAAGATGCTCCCCTTGGCCTAAAGTTCTGTGAGAAACCATTGTAGCTTTTCTAAGATTTCTCCTTTTATGTTGAACTAATCCAAGTCATTTTTCTGGATATTTGACCAATGATAAATTAGTTTCCGTTTCTGATGAGAGAATCAAGAGCCTTCTGATTCAATCTTGTAGAATTCCAGTTCATTCTATGTCTTTCCATCATCAGCCATGGTGATTTTGGCTCCTTCCAGACATGGCATCAAGGTGTCTTACCTGAATGTGAATCTCTGTCCCATCCTCACCTGGGCAAGAGCCACAGCCATCGGCAGGGAAACGTGGTCATTTCTGCATGCAACAGTGTGTTCAGCATCCAACCTCCAAGAAAGGTAGGAAACTAACCTAAAAAGTGTGGGGTTTATCTTGCTGTGTATAGTCTGAATGTTTTCCTTGGCTACTGCTGTCCATATTCTCCTGGATTTTAATAGCCAGTACCTTGTTTCCTGTCCTCTGAGTATTTTTTAAAATATAGATAACAGAAAACACTTGCCATGAACTAATATAAACTCCTCTCATGTATCAGTTCATTTAAACATTTTTAAAAGCTTACAGACTTTTAGTAAATTGCTTATTCTTATACTACTCAGGGCAGGCTTCAAATCTCAATGATCTAGATTAAAATCATTCTCTTAATCACTTTCTACCAATATTCTCGAACAAGGCAGCTAGTGTCCTGACTTTGAGGACTATACTAGGCCCAGACTCAAAACAATAAAATTCTTTCAATTTTAATATTTGCACTGACACCAAGATTTCTACAATCCTCCTGAAAAATAAATATTAAAGACTGATACCTAACTAAAATTCTAAAGGCTCTGGAACTGTTCTGTAGTATCACAGGTCAGGTGCATATTTAGAGCTGAGGAGCATCAGCATACACAGCTCATTGTTTTGCTCTTTTGCTTATAGAAAATATTATGTTCCAATTCTGCGTGTTTTATTTGCTATTGATACAACCTTGGACAAGGACTTTTGGCTTTGTATGTCTCACATTTCACCAGTGAAAAGAAGAAAAAAGAATCTTACTAATCAGTTTCAGTTCAAATTAATTCACATTATATATATATATATATATATCATGATTCTCAAAAATACAGGTTGCTTTTTCATGTACTCTGCACTCTTGAGTATGAAATGTAAGTGAAAATAATCAAAAAATCTTTTCCACATTACATTTCATATCTGAAAAACTGTTAGGAAAAAGTAGTATTGGTTATTGCTTGTATTAATATCTTTAGACTACAATGCAAGTTAATTATCAGATCCAATAAAAAGTCCATTTTAGTTCGATATTTCTTTTGAATGTTTATCTTTTAAAAGTGAAAATATATCATTAAATTCTACTACAGCCTGGTTCCTCCTCACCTTTGAACTTGGAATCTGAAGTTTCTTCTAGAGATATGGACTCTGGAAAGGGCAGCTTTATTACTCGTCTCGGTAAGCAAGGATTAGGGAGATAATCAAAGGTCACACTTAAAGCTGTGCTGAATTACTTCTTCCAGATTTCAAACACACAGGCAAACAAGTTTTTACCTGTGTGTCTGAGGAATCAGGCTTCCTGCAAGAAAGATTGCCCCGTCTGCTTTTTTACTTCATATCTCATCAATTGCAATTGAAAGAGAGGAAGTCTGCCTTTTGCTGGCATGAAAATCTTTTGCTGTTTTTAAACAGGCTCTGCCTTTCCTTTGTCTTACTCATCAGATGAGCCGCATTGCCCCTGAGTTCTATGAAATAGGTTGGAATATTGACTCAAGAATCCTGAGTACCTTGAGCCAGCAGCTAAAATCCGCCAGGTTGGGCCCTGATTTGCATTTATTTACCCATCTTGTGACTTATTAGGTGCAAGTGACAGCTTGGCAGGAACTAATAAATCACTTTCTGCTTTTTTTCTTAAAACCTCTAAACTTAGCTCTGTATAGTCCCTAAATGACTATCATAACGTAATTAGATACAAATCTGATCTCCATATATGTCTTGACACCATTTCAAAAACTTCACAGAAAATCAAAATCAGCAGGACATTATGGTCTTTTTTCTCCCCTGTGGTTTTCCCTTCAAAGTAGGAGATCTGTATAGATAGCCCTCCTTAGAAAACCATTATTGCACTTCAGTAAGTAGCACTGGACTTCTCAGGGAAGGCTGCCTTGAAGGGAGGTGTCCACAGGTGCAGTCAGTACTATAAAAGACTTCCAATGAGTTTAGCAACTTCAAAGCAGCAAAATTCTGTTGTCCAATTTTATTTGTCTCTGAATCTGACTAAACAGGTTGCTATTCATTACAGAGCTCCCTCGCAGGTACTTACAAAGTCACAGTTCTTTGTATTAATCTAGACAAGAGGCCATTATGAACTGTTGCTTTAGTTTTGGGTGAAAACACAATGAACTTGGCTGGATGAAAAGTATGCTTTCAGGTGGCCCTTTCTTCCTCTTTGAAACATGAAATCCTTTTATTTCCTTTGGGATTTTTGAGTGGTAGAAGGATGAAGAAGATGGGTAGCCTGTTGATTTTTTTTTGACATAAATACATTGTCAAATTTTGAAAAAGTGGGGAGAATTTCGGTCTTGGGAAAGTGAAAATATGAGTTATTAAAATTGCCAAACCAAAAAGCTGTAGGAAAAATAATAATATTCTTTTTTTTCTAAAATTTTATTTATTATGCAATCACAGATGGAGTATTAATAGTTTTAGAGACTATTTTGCACACATTATTTCATTCAATTATTTCACTGCTAGTAGGTATTATATTCTCTTTCAATAAATGTGGACAGTAAAGCTCAGAGAAGTGAAAGGAATTGGCAGACTTCACACAACTAATTAGTATTTGCAACCAGATTTGACATTGGGTCTCTTGGGGTAGTAGATCTGTGATCAACTCTAGGACCTCTGTATACCATGTCCTGAATTTGGGCATACACCCAAAAGGAGGGACACACTGATGCATAAGCTCCATAGGAACCGTACCAGAAAGAATAACTCTCTTTGCTCTGATTCATTCCCAAGGTCTACGTAAATGTCCGGCTGGCAGTAGATGCTCACTAATTGTTTGCTGAAGAATGCACACATTAATACCTAAGAATATTGTAAAGCAGAAAATAATTGCAAAGGATGTTTAATTCCTGCTTTTTCATTTCTACTCATTTATTTTCTTAACTTTCCATTAATTGAGAGGAATATCTTAGTGATTATTGTAGAATATTGTGACTATAATTAAGGATGTATATTCCAAAATTGATAGAAGAGTGGATTTTAAATATTTTCATGCCATAAAATTAGCAAATTAGATGATGGATATATTAATTAACTTGATCGAATTATTCCATCCTATATACATACAGGAAAATATTATGTTGTAACACATAAATGTAGATCACTCTTATTTGTCTACTAAAAACAAACTTAAAAAAGAAAAAGAAACATGTGTTTCTCAATCTTTATTACTAATAGTACAATTTTTGATTTTTTCAATTTTCTTATAAAACCAACAATAAGTATTTTGACTTTTCATCAACTTTTAAAGAATGTTGTTATAGGTAACAGATGCGTATAACAGAGGTAAAAATTAGTTTGTAACAAAACTAACTAGTGCTTACTAATATTTTCAGTCCAATATAGAATTTGTCCCCAATATCATATTTCTTTATTTCACAGAAGAGGAATTGGGAAGAGGATTGGGGAGGATGAGTTAGAACGAAGGTGATGACTGTGGTGAGTGGAGCTGTTTGGGCTGTTTCTCTTTTTTATGAGTGGACTCCATTTGATGAATTGCTGTTATTTTTTCCTACCTGGTATGTCATCTTTTTGGTGATGTCAGATGAGAGAACTAAAGAGTTTTAACTCAAATGGAAAACCCCAAATTGGGCAGAGGTCGATAATGATGCTGATCTGAGCCTTCTTAAAGGCTGGGCCTTATACTGAAACCAAACTTAACTCCTTCCTTTATTAGGCAAGTTTGGAGTGTGAAGAAGAGGGCTTAGCATCAGCAAATGGATGGAACACTAGTTTATATAGACTGTACATCCTTATAAAAACATTCAAGATAACAAGCTATACGTTTCTTTATTTCTGTATATACATATATTATATATATATATATATTATGTCCCTTAGGAGTCTCAATAAATTCCAGACTCTACTTTGTAAAAAGCAGAAAATGTTGTGTCCTAAAAAGAAAACGTGATAGCAAGCTAAGAAGGAGAACAAAGAGAAACATAGCTTCTGGGCAAAATCTACACGTCGTAGTAATGAAATATAACATAAAGATTACTTATTATTTACACCCTGTATCATTGGCGCAGTGCTGTGAGGAGGAAGTTTTAGGAACTGTGCTGTAATTGTGTTGCAGCTTAGTGGAGAGAAAAGTAAGAAGAAACAACATGCACTCCAGGCAGGCTTAAGTTGTTTGTGTCGATACAGATCACGATACAAAATGGATATCTCCTCCAAAAATTTTTGAATGTCAGCTCATACATAGAGCATTCTAAATAGATAAATATATTATCTCAATTTTTTTCTTTAGAAATTTCAAAAGGTTAATGGTATCTTCCTTTCAGAATAAACAAATAGAAATTAATCTCAGTATTTTAGGATATGTTTGTGATATGTAATAATTACATTTATCTTGGGGAATTGGTACATATATATCTCACTTCATGATCATATTTACCCCCTCTCTCCCCAATATTTTAACCACAACATAGCTTGAACAATCTGATACAATTATAGAGTTAGTATTTATAAGAATTAAGTTGGTTGAAGGAAGAAAAGTAGGCATTAACATATGAAAATAAACATAATTTTTTTTCTAAAAAGTAAAGAGCTTTAACATACGCAGTGCTGGATAAGGAAATAATGTGCTTTTACTGAAATGTGTGTATAAAATCAGTGTGTATCATTCCATTTTTCCGTCATTAATGGAAATTATTAAGAAATACTTTTTTTCAGTTCAGTTTGTGGTTTGTTTCGCACTAAGCGTTTAGAAGGAAGATGATACAAAGAAAAAAGTCAATAAATGTACCTGCATCAATGAAATAAATTAACTAACTTCATAACTAACCCAGATCAAAAATGCGGTCCGGGCCGGGGATTTAGCTCAGTGGTTCTGCCGCCTGCCTTGCAAGCCCAAGGACCCAAGTTTGATCCCCGGTACCAAAAAAAAAAAAAAAAATGCGGTCAGGTGATCCAAGCTGTCTTCAAAGATAATTGTCAAGAAAGTAGAATGAGTTAAAACACCATGGTGCTAATATATATTTCATGATTTGCACCAATTTGCAATAATCAGTCTATATTCATTAATATTTTATAACATGATAGAAATGGCTACATTTTTAAGAAAGGAATTTAGTGACTCAGGAGTGATTTTTGCATCAGTCAGCTCTTGCATTTTGCTAAGATCATGAAATCAGGTTCTAGAATTATTGAGTAGGGCAAAATGAGCTGAATATCAAGTAATAGGTTTTCAGCGTTAGTGCAAAGGAAAATAGAAGCTATCTATTCCAGGCAGTTTCACAGCACAGAGAAGTGAATTCTAACACATTAGACAATGGAATCCTTTCTCCGGGTTTCTGAGGACAAAACAGGGGAAGTTCCCTTGAAAAAGATAGAGTTCAGCTAAAATTGCCTTCAAATTGACATTTCCATGCATAATCAGGGGAGAAATCATCTATATGCTTTGCTGTATTTCTAAACCCAACCTCAGTGAGGTGCAAGATAAACAGAAGTCTTGAAATTTTGTATTTGAAGTTTGCAAAAGCTAGTATAGCAAATCAAACTTATTTTTAATTTTTATGGATATTAATATTTATATATAATATGAATACATATCAGATCACTTATAATCAACGTCAGTTGCACAATAAGGGCAGTAACATCCTTTACAAATTTTGTTATAGTCATGTTACTTTTAACTAGAAGTAATTCAAGACACAGGCATTTTCAATATGAAAATTAATTTCAGTGCATAGATTTTAAGTATGCTGTACTTGATAGTACACTTGCATGTCATAGTCCTCCAATGTTTAATGAATTCACCATATAGCATATATAAGGAATATAGTCATTTTAATTATTATACAAAATCTGTGATATCCTTCTGTAGTACAAATATATAATACTATAATGATCCTATACTTGGATAAATAAATTTATATACATAGATAGAGTGGATCCTTGACTTACGAACTTGATTGGTTCTCAAGAGCTGGTTGTAACTCGAGTTGGTTGTAAGTCAGTACAGCTGAGAGCTGGATGTTTACATGGGTGCACACTATAGATGACCAGAGGCAGATGAATCTTTCAATTTAATTAACCCAAGTTGTTCATATGTCAGGCCAGTTGTAACTTGAGGATCCACTGTATTTATATGATTTATAGTGAAGACAAAGAAATCATCCAGTGAGAGTTTGAATTTTAGCTCTGCAGTTTCTTAGACAATCAAATCTTCAAATTAACCAAATTGACTCTGTTATGTCCTTTTTAAGCCCCTTACTACTGCATCATGATATTGCTACAAAGATAACATGAGGAAATATAATTAAAGAAACCAATAATACCTATCATATAATTTGTGATCAACAATATCAATATCATATTCCTTTCTATTTATTATTGTATGAACTATTCATTGCCCATATGAAGTTTGACATTACAACAAATTTCTGAATTTTTTCCATGAATGTTTTACCATATGTTTAAGCACAAATGTTAGTTCTTACCTGGATCAGTATTTCAAAATGATGATTTTCAAATTGCATCCTGCCTTTAATTCATCTAAACTGGCATTCTCTAGTAAGGTTGTGAGTCATCATCTAAAATGAAATGGCTACTCAGAAGTTTAATTCTTGCCATAAAACTAAGATTAATATTATTTATCAATTTTGAAAATGAGTGTTTTGTTAAACCATAAATAATTACAACTATATTTCTTTTAGCTTTCATCTTTACTGCTATTATTTTGCTATTTTCCATTTATTTAATAGATCTCTGTCACACATGTTGTATGACACTCAAAGAATTATACATTTGTAGTACAGTTTCTTCAAGTTAATTTCTGTTCTTTGACTTAATGCCTTATTTCTTGAAAGATTCTAGTACTTAGACATAAAATGACATCAACATTCAACAATATTCCCTACAAGGAAGAATGGAATGATTCTATCTTGACTTAGCAGGAAGTAATCTATATGTATTGTAATAAAGTAAATGTGAACATTTTCCTCAAAATTATAACTTCATTACAGAATGAGGGGAGAAAAAGTAGAAAAGTAATATAAAAAAATCTAACATCAAAATATGAAATCTGTACAAATTATATATGACATATAAAGTATGTTTTTTATAAAGGAAACTTTGAATTTAGCATATTACTATTATTAAAACTACACAAATTATTCCAGTCAAAAGAACTGCGATTGTTTAATAATTTAAATTCTTTGGTTATCTACCAATAGACTATCCTACAATTCAGGATAATTTAATTTTTAATTATTAGAATATACTACTTTCATTTAATTGCTCCATACTAATTTCATTTCATAAAATTACAATAAATGATTATGTATATTATAAAATATAGACCTTCACTTTCTCTAAACAATGAAAGCCAAAACATACAAAAAGTCACCTAAGAGTTTTTTTAATGATGACCCACTTTGAAAAATAACTCAACATGTTTGTGGAAGGGGTTGCTGAGTTCTGTTAGCTCTTACTCACTATCCATTATTACACACCAGGAAGTTGATTCTTACAAGTTAGCTTTTTAATAAACATGTGAAAACATATCTATATCTATATATAGAGATATAGATATGTATTTTTTAGAGTGGACCAAATTTGTAACCAGAACATCACATTTTTCTTCTGTGACAGAAACTCTGTAACTGAACAGTCTGTTAAAGGTGGAGAAAAATATTAAAGCTCTTTAATTTCTGGGAAAAATAAACTACTTCTCATCTTCTGTACCTTCAAGTGCTAACTATGCTTTATTACCCCATAGGGTCTACTTCACTGGGAAAGGCTAACACTGTTGAAGAAGCTGCTCCCTCAGTATTTAGAATTTATTTATGAATAGATAGTTTATAGTACTTGAGCTAAATTCCTATCAATTATACTCATTGTTATATTCCCATCCCCTGTGTATATCGATGATCCTAGAACTAAATGGAACATAATTCATATTTACGTTTGCATAGCACTAATAATCTCCCCCTAGTGCAGGAGGGATTGTGCAGACATGCAGTTGCATTCTCAACGGTCTTTAGAGCACATAATGTAACAGTCAATGTGGCTAAGCCCCCAAACAGCGATCTATGCTCCTGTTTTCTCGGAGCTCAAGTTTTCTCAGGAGACACAGGCACAAATAACCATAACCCCAGTCAGATGTGACAGGCACCTGACAGGAACATAAACAAGAGCTGTGGTGATATTGGGGGAAAAAAAGAAAACGGTTACTCTAGAGAATAGAAAATTAAGAAATTTTACTGAAGGTTTCCAGGTGAGACTTCCCAGAGGTAGCATTTGGACTTAGCCTTAAATGATACGTAAAATCACCCTGACAGGTGAGCAGTGACTACATTTCGAAACTTTTAAATTGTATTTGCCATTGCCATATAAGACATGAATTCGGAGTTCTGGGAAGCCTTGCATACCCCAATTTATAATAAGGTATTATTTCAG